CTTACACTGCATAATTACTTTTTTAAACTACATAGGTCTCGGATGACTTGCTGCGTCATCATCATCATCGTCGTCGTCATCGTCATCATCTTCATCATAACAATTATCATCATCTTGTATGTATGTTTTATGTTTGTCTGCGTTTGTATATTAGGTGACTGAATGTTTGCACGAACAAACAGTAAAGTCACTCGTTCACTTGTTTGCACTCTGTTTACTCAACTCTCGAGTTGCATGTTCTCGGTGTTTGTAGTGTCATGTTCATCGTGTTCGTCATGTTCACAAGTGCAAACATCTTCACTATTTCACTTCCTTAGACACACAATGTAAGAAGATTATCTTCACTACATCCATTCCATATCCACACATCCATCCATCTCGACCTCCATCTGATATGTACCGTTCAATGGTTCTTCCGTCAATTTTTACATTTGTTTTGTTTACCTATCCATCTATTCATTCATTTATCCAGACATTTATTTATCCGGCTATTTGTTTATCCATCCATTTATCCATTTACTTGCTCACTCATCCATCTATCCAAGCTAAGACAGACTGTTTTAATCCAAAATCAATCAATCCTATAAAAATAGGATGGAGTTTATACAATGATGCCGATGATTCCATCTACCAGCCATGAAGAAATGAACGAATGACTGAATGAATGATTGAATTAATGCATGATGGAATTAATGCACGAATGAAATAATACATGAATGAATTAATATATATCTTTTTCTCTCTTTTTTTCGCCCGTTCTCTTACTCTCTCTCTCTCACTTTCTCTCTCTCACTTTCTCTTACTCTTTTTCTCTTCTCTCTTTTTTACTCTCTCTTTTTTCTTTCTCTCTTTTTGATTGTGTGTGTGTGTGTGTGTGTGTGTGTGTGTGTATGAAAACGCATTGAAGATGATGGGCTAACAGCAGGAGGTCATAATATTAGTGTTTGTCCTCAAACAATATGCTACGAAAATACAAGGAAACGAGAGAGAGAGAGAGAGAGAGAGAGAGAGAAAAGAGAGAAAGACATGAAGAAAGTCAGATGTAAGTTGGAGAGATGAATGAACGTTTTTAAACAAAATGTAAACTGTACATCGTATGGACGTGCACATTACATACTTGTATGTTTTGGTGGTATGTGTGTGTATATAAGTATGTTTGTATGTATGTGTACGTGGGCAGCAAGTATGTGTGTATGGATAGATAGATGGATGGATGGATGGATGGACGGATGGATGTGTGCATGCATGCATACGTGCATGCGTGGCTGCTCTACCAAGAAATTAATTTGTATTAATAAATACACACATCCAATACACACATACATACTCTTTTTATATAGATGCATGCCGCATACTACTTGTACGTGTACAATTTTATCAAATTTATTAACAGAAATAAGCGTGGGAAGTCCTTATTGTATCAGTGTAGCATGTTGGAATTTAGGTATCTAGGTATGTATGTTTGTTTTCATGTGTGTGTGTATGTATGCATGTATATATGCATGTATGAATTATGTTTTTGTTTTGCATACTTTTTCTTCTTCTAACTTTTTCACTTTTTACTTTTGTGTACTTATGACAATGCTCTTGTTTGCACTCATACATAATTTACAATGTTTATTTATAATTTTTAAACCTTCCATACATTTGTATGCAATTCATTTTGTCCGCTATTAATATGCACTGCACATGTTTGAGTTTTTCCGTTGTTTGCGTAGTATTTTGTATGTTTTTTGCGTTAGAATTTGGTTGTCAGTCTTACTCATTGATGTTTCTTTGTTGATATTTGTATATGGACATGTGTATGTTAGTATGTTTCTGTGTGTGTGTGTGTTTGTATGTTTGCTGCTTACTTTTGTGTGTGTATTTATGTGTATGTGTGTGTGATGTGTGCGTGTGTGTGCGTGTGTGTGTGTAAGTGGTGTGCGTGTGTGTGTGTGTGTACGTGAGTATGTATTATAATGTTTGAGAGGCACGTACGTTGACTGGAGAGGAACATGACTTCCATTACCACGTGTAAACAAATGTCTCCTACAACAACGTTCATACACGTTCACGTACACAAAATACACACCTCTCTCTTACCTCTCTCTCTCTCTTTTATTTTTTTCTTGCTCATTCCTTTCTTCTCTCACTCTTTTATTTTATCCCATTTCTCTCTATCTCTGTCTTTCTCTATTTCATTCTATTTTTCAGTTTGAATGTATGTCTGATTTTTGTGTGTTTATTCCCGTTCTACGTTCTCTCCATGTTCATATTTATTGTTCGCCCATGTTTGCATTGTTCACCCAGTGTTTACGTTAGTTGTAATGACTGGTTGTCATGACAACAATTATGAATGAATGAAAGAACGAATGAATAAATGAATGAAAGAATGAACTGGAAACAACAGCGCTTGGAAATTAAACAATTGAGAATTTTTGTGCGTTATTTTCATTTGTGTTCGTCTGTCTGTCTGTCTGTCTTTTGCCTGTCTGTCTGTCTGTCTGTGTCTCTCTTT